TATATATATATATATATATTTGTGTATCGTTTTGTACTTTGCATTTTTACAATATTTTCATCAGTTTCATCTTGATGCTCCCTTCAATGATCAGTTGCGCGAGCGAATGAATGTAGATCCGAGATCGCCAAATTTTTAAAGTTTTTGCATCATCGAATTTACTCGAATACTTGGTTCGCATATTCGCAAGATATGAAGAAAAAAAAAATAAAGAAAAAGATTCGAAACTTTGCTCGGATATCTCTAAGAATCTTACAAGAAATAAAAAATTTTCACTATGAATCGCGTGAGAGAATCGTGCTGTCGCGCGCTCACGCGGAGCTCAACGGCTCGGCAGAGTTGACGCAACGAATGACGCGATCGCGCGCGATGCCTCGCTGACCAATGAAGGCGCAGGTGTAAGCCATGTGTCGAATTTTTCGACAAATAGATGGATATCGTTTCACGACATGATTGCGCGACCGAACAATCTCAACTCGTCACGTGCGCTCGACAAAGTTGCATCATCGTTCGGATCGTTCCACGATTAAAGAATACTCTAAAAGCTTGGATTCTCCAAAATGTAGTTAGTAGGATGTTATGCAATACATTCTCAATGGTAATCGATGATGAATGGCTGAATAACCGATACGACGCGGGCGTAGGACAATGAAATATGTATGAAGCGTGATATCGCAAAACTCACGATCATATTCTTCACTCACTGTCTCGCGCGGTCTCACGCGTCTTTCGCACATATATAATACCATGTATATCAAATTTCTCTTTCTAGAGATGTCTTACGAGACAAATTATTGGATACGATCAACGCGATGCTGCAAATTCTTTGTTTTTTAACTCAATTTGTAAAATTCTTCTTTTGGTCCATCAAATGTTTCAAAGTATTTATAGCGAGACCAAAGCCATTATCATTAATTCGTTGTTAAAACTGTTAAAGTGACGAACAGAATTGTTGCGTTTCAATAATCCGTAACAGAAACGATAACGCGAGATGATCATCAATTATATTAGCTAAAACAATAAAATATACCATTTTGCGTAAGTGACACAAGCTCAACGTCCGAATGACTTGCATCTACTATTGAAGAATATATATAATATTTTTGAATGGAAATAAATTGCGCGCGCGATCAGATTAGCCATTAAATTCGTTAATTCGATAAACGTACCTTTAACTACCTATAGTTTAACCACTTACCAGTAAAATGCTATTTTATCACCATTTCCACTCTTTACATTTTTATCGAGTAGGTTGAAGCTTATATTTGTCGACGCTCCCTCCATCCACTTTATGAAAATATCACCTTTGTTCAGATCGAAATTATATGAGAAAAACTTGTCTTCGATCGCTGGTGTTTCCCAATAAAATTGTTTGGCGATTTCACCCCAGAATTGCACCGGCTCCTTTATAGATCTAGATAAAAAAAAAGCAAATTCAAGCATGTCAATTCGAACTATGCCAAATGATTTCCCTCGCTACTTTTTCGTGACAATAATTCATAATTATTATACATTTATAATTTACAATTTATTATTTATAATAAATTAAAAACATATAAACGTTATAAATAATAATTATGGATCGTTTTTAATTTATTGATTATATATCCATAATTTATCTCGAATTTCCTTTAATAAAGTTTTAACATCATCATTGCAACAAGAGCTGAAAAATTCGTGTTTAACGATCCACTTCTCCTTTCTTACGTAATGCATTCTTCATTCCACTTTATTTACAAATTTATACACATTCGGTGCACTCGCGAATTGTGCACATTATTATTGTCGTATTTCCGCATTAATTGGATGAGTTCGTAGTCCTCTTCGACGAAATATATTACGGATGAAGTAAATATGATCTATATTCGAAGCAGCAGAGGCTATTATAGTTAGATACATAAATCTTGGAATCAAAAAAATCATTTTAAGAATTCGCTTGGATCGTTTGCCAATTAGGAATTGCAGCGAATAATTACGATGTAATCAGAACTAAAGAAGCGTAGGGAAAAAAGATAGAGAAAGAATAATTCCGTTCTACATTTTTGTAGCTGCATTTCTAGCAATCTACGGAGGAATGCTCCTTCTTCCACGAAGAGAAATTCGTCTCACCCTTAACGAGATCGATCGATATCGCGCAAATCGTGCTTCTATTTATGCCGTTCACAGCAGCTGATTGTTCAGATGAAACATCTCATACAATTGAAATGCTATCTCTAATTCATTCAATATTCGATTCAACTCTGTATAATAACTCTGTAATAACTAGATCTATAATCTGTTCATAAATATCTTCTTTAAAATCTCGCATTGACCCGTTTCATTTTTTTTTCTTTACCATTATATTGATTCCAATCAGAGTAACAATAAACTAAAAAATAATCAACTTCTTCATCAAAATCTTTATATACAGCATCTTTATCACTTATTCTATCGCTATTCTTTTTGCCTGCTGCAACATATACTATACAATCTCGTCAGCAAATGTGCAGTGATGCTTTTCATATCTCGATAGATAGGACAGGTAGGTTCGCGGCTGTCGCCGAACGTTATACATTCCAAATTAAATGACACGATGATAACTCTTTCTCCCATATGTATACGTACGATATTGAATTTAAATTCGTTCATATATCTACTCACTTTTCGTGCATTCGCTTATATTGTTCCATGCTAGCGCAGTGCGCCTCTCTCGCGAGCTCCGAATTGGGGTGGTACATTTTCTCCGCCATATTTCACTTCTCTCTTTTTCTTTCACTCTTTGATCTTTCTCTCGTCTTCGCGTTCGAATCCTACTCGTTCAAATTACTTATCGAGATTAAAAGGAGATTTGTAAAAATAAAAAGACCGTAATATTCGTAATATTTGTATAGTGTGTACGGAATATACTGGTCACAACGAGTCAACTGTTGGTTAGTGGTGACTAAGCTCCACTAAGCCCGCTTTCCACCACTTTACCCGCCTGACCGATAAACCTCGACTGAAACACGCGCGCAACACGATCGACGCACGTAGTGCTGTGCGCCATGCGACGATCCGTCCGGGACAGATCGGGGCGAATGGTGAGCATTGAGCAATGGTGTAAGAACAGGTGAGAGAGAGAGCACTAGATTTATACGTTTTTAGTTCTTATACGTTTCTGCGCGTCATTTTCTCATATTTTCCATTTGATATATTCTCTTTCACTGCTCTAATTAACTGCATTTTTCTTAATTAATTGCTTTTAAATTCTTTTTTTCGTCCTTAATGCACCTAGCCACCTTTGAATTTATCAATTTATTATACGTAGTCGAATCATAATAAGTCTCGCTTTCGCAAATCTCTTGCTTAACGCTATTCTACGTGCCCGTAAATAATTAGTATTTGTTGTGTCATTCCTGCAGAAAGTTTAAATTTTAAGTTGAAGGGTGCTCCAGAGCAGTTAAGAGTAAATTGATAGAGTTTTGTGTAAATTAATTGCTAATCATGATCAGCGATATCTTTGACTTTTCAATATTTCATGCCTCATGAGCAACTATACGATGTTTATAGTCTTTTTTTTGAGTCATAATACGTAAAGTTCGATTATTTACCACTTATTTGAATTACGATTAAATTTACACACACACACACACACACACACACACACACACACATACACACACACACACATACACACACGCGCGCGCGCGACAATCGAAAGAAACAATTTTATTAACCAATTAAAAAATGCTTCGAAGCATTATCAAGTATTATCAAGTGAATTTCGGAGTGGAGAAAACAAAATTTATAAATCATATTTGAATAATTCGGTCACTTTGGGGAATTTTGTCATTGGTCTACTTTTCATTAGGAGGTCTAATGGCACACAGAATGCGGCAACGCTTGTTGCGCGACGGAAGTTGTCGCACTAATCAATAATTCTATGTTTTTAAATCGACTTCACCATGTAAAACAACACAAAACTTCTAGAAATGATGTAATATTACTTCCGCGGCAAAAGTTGGATTGAGTTCAACGAGAGCGACTTTTGTCGCGCAATGGAAATTATATATCTAAAGGTGCCTTTTCACGCTGCGACAGCAAAAATGTCAATTTTTCATAATTGCATTCCACTGCATTTGCTGCACGTGAAAAGGAATAACGGTAACAGCATATATATTAAAGTTTAATCTCAAATATGTGTCTTTTATTTGCTCAGCTCGAAAAATTTAAAAAACTAAAAACTTGTGATTATATGACAACTGTTAGTGCAGTTACAATTTGGACAACTATCATTTCAGGTAATTATTTAGAATTTAGAATATCCCTATCACTTCAAATCTTAATAAAAATACTCATTGTATGTATACTTATTATAAACGTACTCAATTCACATTTTTTGCAAATATTGCAGACTTTCTCGACTTTGAATTCTTTGTTGCTCGTTATTCGTTCGATTGAACTTCAATGAGATATGGCAAAATTTTATTTTGCGTCGGAAATGCGTCATCTCATATAAAATTTTTAACCAATATTTACGAATTACTGCCGCAGCGTGCTGCGTATGAGAAGTTAGCTATTACTTTCGAGCAAGCGAAACGATGATTGGCTATCGCACCAACTTCCGCTGCGTGGCAAGCGTTCGTTGCCGTGTTCTGTGTGCAAGAGCCATAATTATGGCTTCACTGTGATTAGTCAATTATTACAGATTACGGCATACGGTTACGGCCAATATAAACGTTCCCTTAAGATATCTTTTGGTGCATTGCTCATCGCTCGCTTTTAAAGAGCTTTATCGCTCGATAAAGAGGTCACTTGACTGATAATTCACCAATGATAATTTAACGACTGATTTATCTGAAAAGGTACCTTTATTGTCTGTCTCTGATTGATTGCGTTTACAGAAAATTTATTTTGCAAGTTTCCGTTGAAAGTTTTCTTCTCGTTGTTTGAATTGTATTTTTAGATCTAGAAGAATGATCCTATCTCAGCAGACAATCATAAAATGGTTGCGAAACTGTTTTGCTGAACGCAGCCATTGGATGCGTTCAAGCTGAACAAAGCGGCTGACCTATTCGCCGAGCAATTAAATATGATTGGATGGATATAGAATCCCTATAATAGGGACTCTAGTTGGATCCACAGATAGGAATACCAATCATGCTCATTTGCTCGGCAAGTATGCTTAGCTGCTTTGTCGGCTTGAACTTAAACTCTCTCAAGTCATTGTCCATTGTCCATCTTCAATTGTCTTCTCTAGCAATCTCTAGCTTGTATTATGTATAAATAACGAAGAACGTATATTTTGTATCAATTGTTATCTCTGACATGTTATCGTAAAAGTATTGTAAAAGACATAACTTGTATAAACATTTCAATAATAATGTCGTTAGAATAAATGTTGCAATAATATTTAACTTTTTAAACATGTATTATCAGTTTTATGATGGTGAAGAGGAAGTTGAGCCAAGAGTTATACCGAAACCTATAACCAAACACGATGTAAGTTGCTTTTTCAAACGGTTGTTTGTATTGTCATCTTGTTTATTTTGTGAAATTTTACATACAGTATAAAAATATTAGAGAAATAATTTAGACAATTTTTAGTGCTTCGTAGTGCCGACTGTGCCAGAAATATCTTTAATCTTTGAAAAACCAACAGCAAGAGATCCAAGGAATCGGAGTATCGATACTACCGATTCGTTGCCAGCGATATCAGTAAGACCTATACGAATTTCTGACAATACTGTGAAAGTTAGCCCTACGTCGCTGATTTCACACAATTCTGATTCTTACGCCACATGGAAGGAACAGAATTATTCTAGAGAGATTAATTCTACAAGTACAACACATATTTCACCATTATACAAAAATACTTGTAGCTATGATTATGCTGTGCCAAGTACAGGTTTACAAAATGCTTCTATACAAAAGCTACAAGAGCAAACAAAAATTAATGATAAACAAGAAACATTGCAAAATGCTAGTAAAAATGAAAGAATGCACGAGAAAAGTGTAAAATTTACATGTTCTGATACAGGAGATTCCTATCGTCTCGAAAGTCAGACTGATTTATTATCTTTGGATAAGAGAACCTCATCTTCTGATTCTTTACAAAGTACACAGCTGAACATAGCTGATCGTACTATGAGAACATCTAACAATACTATTCCAGATACATTGAAAAAACCTGAATATTTTCAGACTCCATATGCTGGATGTCAGCAATTTCATGTACCTAACTACTCAAATTATAATATAGACAATAATGAAACGGTAAAAACTTTATTGCAACTTGTAAATAGTCAAAATCAACAGATAAAAAATTTACAACTCCAGATAGATAGACTAGTAAGAATGCAGGAAGAAAATTTCAGAAACAAACCGACATGTTTATGTTCACAACCTCTTGCAAATCAAGTATTTAGGTATCCAATAAATTGTTACGACTCTGCTCTTACTTCTTCTCTTGTACAATCTCAGAATCAAAGTATAAAGAAAAATGTAGCCTCACAGAGTACATCTATTGTGGAGAGGCAAGATCTAGAAAACTTCAGTGAAAATAATAAATTAGAAACAGCATTAGAACAGCAATCAAAAAAGGCTTTTATGGAACAAAAAGTTTCGATCGGTGTTATGACAAGTTTTGAGTTTACTGTACAAAATAACCCTTTTCCAATAGACTCTGAAATATGTGAGAAAACGGAAGCTCACAGAGAAAGTAATGGTATTAATAGTAGAGCAAATACTGTAAATACTGTAAATATACATGATACAACAGAGCCTGTTAATAGATATAAGAATACATTTACGCGTAAGCCTGGACCAGCAGCGCAATTGGAGAACATAGTCGAGGATTCTGAAAGTTATTTATCCTCTAGCCAACAGCAAAGTAGTAATTTCAACGCGAGTTCTTCCGTGAAAGAATCATCGAAATTGCGTCAACATCTTTCTACTGATTTAAATCGAGAAGAAACGCATAAAGGAGCATATATAGGGAAAGATAGTAATGTGTATGAACGAGCATCAAATACAAGGAAAACGTCAAATACATCTATGAACATAGATTGTATTGGAAGTGCAAATTGCAGTGAAGCACTTGTCAAGCAAACAAACGATTATGTTACGATAGATGGGAAAAAGTGTACATACAAGACAAATATTAATCAACATTCTTTGCATAACGTCCATTTACCAGTAACAGATTACTATCACAACCATAGAAATAAGGAATACGCGCGCAATGTTAGACAAATTAAAGATATAGGTGATGATAGCATGATTCTGAGTGGAGGTGATCTTAAAATACTCGAAAGACCTCCACCAACTCCAGAACCAAGTATTCACGTTGAGATGCAGGAGTATGTAAGTGACGATGAAAGTGACAAGTTAAAGCATACTTCGAAAATAGGTTGGACTTTTTACAACAATGTTTTGGGGCAAGTTAATGAAATTTTACAAAATTCTGGTGTTATAAACAATGAAGATCTGAATCATGCTAAAACACCATGTAATGTTGAACAAGAAAATGATAGAGAAACTAAATCGGCATTGAACACTGTTAAAGCAACCACTTTGGAACAACTTCGGAGACTTGGGATCAGTCTAACTGAAAATAATGAACACAGAGAATCCAATGGTAACAAGACGTATGTATCTTTACATTAATTTTCATTTAGATACATAATTAAATAATTGTGCATTTAAATCTGTGAATTATTTTTAAGTAAAAAATTTTAAATAAAGATTTGAAAGATGAATAATTTTGCAAGTTGTTATTAAGATGTAATTAATGCCTAAATACAGAGTAAACTACTGGTACAATAATCTCTGTATGTACAAGATATTGTTGTTACTTTACGATACATGAAAAAAGTTTATGACTTGTTCATTTATTTACTCATTATATTATATACTATGTATATAATGATACTAAGGGCTCGTAATTGATCTTTTCAAGGTTAGACTTTGATTCATCTTTTTATCCTCGTTTTGATCATCAAG